AAAACACCAGTGTAATAAAGCATGTTAAGCCTTGAAATAATCTCTCAGAAAAAGCATCAGGACACCCTTGGCGGTGCTGGTCAGAGTCCTTCCATTTAGCCCGTGAGAGACACTCTTACCCTGCCTAGGCAGGAAGGGACATCATTGGGACTTCTCACTTTTCTTTTTTCCTCCCTTCAGGATTGCAGGAATACAAGAAGACAAATGGGAAAAAAAAAAAAAAACCAGGGCAGCAAGAAATCCCACAGCAGCAAGCATCGGGAAAGTCCAGCATTCCAACACGTTTATTGCTTATTTTTACAGTGTTTAAGGGCGAAGTACCACACATAGACACAAACAATTTCAAAGCAACCTCCCAGCCTAGAAAGAAAATGAGGGGAAGGGGCTCTGTTTCAGTTCTTCATTATTGAAGCTCTGAAGTAAAGAAATTTCAACAAACATAAGTAACCCAATCTGTGTGTTTCCCTAGCCCAAGTTCCCTCCATTTTTATGGTCTTTTCAAAGTCTAGATCAAGTTTCATTTGAGTTTGCAGGGTGAAGGTTGTTATATCTGGCTTTTCTCTCCCCCCCCCGCCCCAAAGACTCAATTTCTTTGTCTTTTCTTTTTAAAACAAAGTTGAAATCGTCACGAATATTCAAAAAGTCTTCGTTGCACCTCCCAAACCTACTCTATAATAATGAAGAAACATGTAAATACACAGAAGCACAAAATGTCTTGCAAAACACAGAGTCCACTGGGAAAAAATACTCCTAATTAAGTACTGCCCAAAAATTCCCAAAGTACACAATATAAAATATATACCATATAGTTAATTTAGTGTACTTATATAATATGTTAGTCTCACAAGTTATTGTGGTCAACAATACTGATCTCACAGCCGTTTTCTAATTGAGGGGAGCAGCAAATTTTCTTTGCCTGTTTCTACCTTGAAAAAAAAAAAAATCCCCTCTCAAGTTAAAACATTATAATACCCACTGTCTTTTTGTTTAAGTGCAGAATGACTCCAGGAAGCTCAAACACATCTTCCAACGTTTGTAACACTTTATGAAGGAGTGGTTCTTTACCAGCCAAAGTCAAGCCCTGGGAAGCTTCTTCCATCATTCATCAGCTGAGATTTTGACATCCAAAGTTCTGAGCTGACTGTGGCAGCAGGTGAAAAGATCTACCAAGCTCCCAAGGGAGCTTTCTTCTGGCTGTTGTTTAGAAGCATCAAATTTCCAATCTAACTGCTAAAATACCTTTGAAAGTAGTTTCTAAAGGATGAATCTGAAACAAGGACAGAAGTAGCAGTCACCAGCTTCTATCTCACCAAGCAAATGGCACACCAGCAGGGTAAGAAGGAAAGCTGGCATAGAAACATGAGGGCAACAACACAAAGGAAAAGCCCTCAAATCATACGGGTTTTTATAAGAAAGGAACTTTTGATATGCTCAAGATAAGTGAATCTACACTTGCAATCTGCCAAGGCAAACTCAAAGCAATCCTTAAGGTCACTAAACCAAGCATTCCCAGAGCACTAAGTGACAGAACAAAGAACAACCATGCAACCTTCAGCTTGGCCCACTTAACAAGCATTAAATACAGTCTATAATTAACTACACGTTCATATGCTGATCCTCCTTCGGAAATCCCATTTAATTCAATGCAAACATAGATTCTGCTCAGGGAATGATTCAGAATTTGTAGTGAATGAGGCTCTTGTTTCTAAGACCTGGCCAGCCTCAAAGAACTACTACAATATAAATATTTGATAATAACAAAAGCATGCAACTCGTTGCCAAGCACAGATGTTAGAAAGTGACTGCAAATCTTGGCATTTGGTGGCACCTAGTAATCCACTGGCTGAGTCACTAATGTGATTGATGGCCTTAAGTTGTTCAGGAACTACTGGCCCCTCTGAGAACTAAGACCTGCAAACCGTACCATATTTTTTTGTATAAGTGCTTTTCTCTACACAACCAGTAAATGTTTGATTTTATTCTTACAGGTTTAGAAAAGGTATGTGGCTCTGCTGCTTGGGAAACCTCTTTACCTGGGAGGAACTGATACAACTGCACAGGTTTTTCTTTCCAAAGTGAACAAATCTGGTTCCATCACCGTTTCCATGAACTCAAGGAGAACCAGTGAACAGAACCATTACATTCCTGTAACCACAGCAGGCTGTACTACATCTGAATAACATGTCCCGGGCATCTGCAGGGTAGAGAACACTAAAGTAGCAATGCATGAATAAAAACTAAAGCTGCAAAGGCAAAAGGACACATAACTACTTAATTACATCAAACACTTTCCTCTGTGTGTCTTTTAAAATGCAAGCCAGAGCACTTAAGCTTTAAGGCAGATCTACCTTTGTAGAAAATGTTAGTCTTCCAGGTCATTAGTTACAACAACATCAACTGGCACAGCCAGGAACAGCTTTTGAGCAAATGAAAGATTAAGAAAAAAAAATCTGAAGAAAACTTAATTGTTGCCCTCAGTGCTCCAAGTCACACAAGATTCTCACATGCTGTCAATTAAGTGAACCCTATAAAGTTATGATCTATGGCAAAATTCCACCAGAACGGTTATATCAGAGCAACAGATGTAATTAAATTATTTCTACCAACAAAGTCATCAGGGCAGAACATATCACCCCTTTCAACTCTAAGCAACTTTTTTTAACCAGAAAGTGCTTCTATGATGGTACCACCTTGACTGAGTAACAGGAAGAATTTTTTTTTACCACTAAGTTCCACTGAATTCAGTCTGAACTTAGAAAACGTTTTTGGTACCCTGACCACACAAGCTGAACTTGTGGAACGGCAGCAAAAGTCCCCTAGACTGTCACCCATTTTTCTTTCAAAATGGATTTGGTGTGTTTTATGGTATTTTCAGCTATTTTCTATCTTCCTTGGTACCAAAAAAAAAAAAAAAAATTCACAGAATAATTCAGGTTGGAAGTGAACTCTGTAGGTCACCAGGGCCAGCTTTAATTACACAGAAGGAACAAATAAAAGACAACCAAAGCAAAAACAATCAAACTAACAAAAAGCCAACCAAAAACCAACAAAGGACTATTACAGTTAAAAAAAAGTGATTTCACCTACGCACAGTACTTGCTTTCTTTGTTCCTTAAGTCACTTCATAATATTTATTTTAATCATGCTGATTTTTTTACAGGTCTTTCTAAAAGCTAACTTTAGGGCTTTGAAAAGCAAACATGCACATTTAGGGTGCTAAATAAACATATTTTTTAAAGTAGTCAACGAAACAGATCTTTTATCTGGAGAGTTCTTATAATGGGGAGGATTTTAAGAAAATAAATCAGGGTTCTGGAAGCCCTCCAGCAGGTAAAAACTTCACTTGGCTTCATACTGTAAGTATAAGAAGGAGCAGGCCATGTCTTGGAGAGCTGTAATCAAGTAGGTAAGTCAGCAAAGGATATAACAGAGGCATCAGGGGAAGGAAGACTCAATGGGACTTGCTAAAATCAACAAAGAAAAGGGCAGTGCATGCAGGAGGAGTACAAAGAGTGAGACTGAAGCAGTGGTTTGGACACAGCACAGGTGGATACACCAACAGTGTGTGGACAGTGAATGGGTATGTTCAATAAACTGGGCATTACAAAATACACAAAACAGCCTGGAAAAAAACAACTTAAAAACTTTAAAAAACCACATTTTTCCCTTACCAACACCAAGACATCCAATCAAAGGGTACTTACCTGTTCCACAATTTCAGACTAATCTCTTTGCTTTGAACTTCTACATGTATAAATTTAAGATAATGTATCATGTCATCCCACAGTGCTGTACAGGTACATACACTAGTGTCTCTGTATCACAAGGATGGCCCAGCACAGAAAATTCAATAAAGAAAATTGGTAACTCTGCAACCAGCATGGGTTCCAGACAGCACACAACAAAAACTGCATAAAAGGAAGTATTTTAAATGAGAGTAGAAAAAAAACTATTCGTGCAGCCAACACCATCCTTCCCACCCACTGAATGAGATACAGGGCCTTTAGGGGGAAATAAATAAATAAATAAATAATCAATATTCCTTCCTTCTCATATGTGTTCTGCTACCTTTTTCGCCATATGATACTATAAATGAGCTTATGTATCCAGCTGCCTCTGTAAAAGAAGCCTAGAGACTTTCTCACCTTCTACAAACAGCAGTTCCTGACACACTTATGAGGCTTTTACTCCAAGCCGTTCAGCAAGGCTAAACTCAAAATGTTACACCCTTTTAAGTACAACAAAACTTTCAAAACATTAGGAATGGGGTTTATATTAACAGGACACATTGTGCAGGGCACGCACTCGCGAGTCATTCAAAGCCACCAGACTGCTGCTGTGCCTTTTGAAGCGGCAGCAGGTTTTTAGCAGCCTTTTTGCTCCCAACACCAAAATTACGGCAGGGCTGCTGACCTCAGAAACAGGGTCGCTACTGACCCCTAGTGTTAACAAGGTCAGCCTCAATCTGAGTTCTGGCAAAAAAAAGCATCAGGAGTATCACCATCCTTCAAGCACCGCGGTGCTCTTCTGACACAGCAAGTGGTCCCTGCCTTGTGTTGGGGTCCTTTCCACTCTAGTTCACAAGCAAAAATACTAGAATCCATCTTTAAAGAAACAAGAGGAAAGGAAATATAAACTTCTAAGCATCCCAGCAAACTGCAGATTCGAGTTCCTTCTGCTTCCCAACGTCTAATACATTTTTTCATTTGCAAGGTTAACAGTAGGATATCTAGAGCAGACTGACAAGTCATGGCTTCAGGTGAGTATTTATAGCCTCTTGATCACTTATTAAGGAATTAATGACAGTGATCCACAGTCCAAGCTGGCCTGCAAAGCCCAGTGCAAAGAAAGGAGTCGTAATTGCCAGGTTACTGCAGGACTTGGCTGTCCCAGGTAGAAGTGTAGAGTCCAGTGACCTGCCTGCCCAGGTGACATAAAAGTTGCTTACAACAAAAAGCTGTAACTACAGGAATGAAGAAGAGTCCTACTGTTCTACTTACAATTTTGAGTCCAGGTTCAGGAGAAAGCCCAGTTTGTCATATTCTGTAAAACAAAAGCAAGGGACACGTTACCAAAAAAACTGCTAGTGTCTCCCCTGCAAAAGGCATCAAAACCAAAAAGTTGCAAGTCCTCATGGAAGGGTAATAATTATTTCTAACTGAAAATAGCTATATCGTATTTTCTAGTCACTAGCAGCTATTAATACAGATTATTGTTACTTCCGGGTTTTCCCAAATTAACATTTCTGAATCTCCAGGAAATAATAAAGCAAGAGAACCCATGGGTAATCATTAATTTAGAAATCACTAGAATTAATCAAGCTAAGTGTAGTCATAAAAACAAAGCATTACTGAAAACACTCATGCAGTGACAAACGAAGCTCTTCTGCTTGCTGTACAAATAATTTTGCCACTAATTTGTATGACAAACATTCCTCCTAAGTTCTGACACGGTAGAGCTTTCAAATTTTTCTTCATTCCTTGTCTATTCCAAACGCAAAACTTCATAATCAAGCAGCCCTTCTTCAAGAGTAAGTGACTCATGGTGGCAGAAATGCTTCAAGTTCAGATGTTGTTCAATAGGAAACTGCAAAATGAGTTGATGCTGCAAACAGGGGACAGCTACAGAAACAAAGTTATCACTCATAACATCCTTAACTATATAATGTAAGCTTTGTATTCATTGCATCTTTGAATATATTGTGATCTTGTAAATCAAACACTTGATGCAAAAAAGAGATACTAGAATTCACGTGAGAGATACAGGAAAAAGACGTAGTGTCTTTCTTGCACTGGGTTAAGCTCAGTGTCCTTCTCGCACTGAGAACCGCTGGGTCTCACTACATACAATAAAAGAAATAATACAAATAGAGAATCAAAAGATAATCCAATCAGGGTGTATTAAAAGAAACGACAAGACAAAAAATTCTCGTAAGCTTTTAGAGCTCATTGGAAATACAGAAGATTGCTCTCTCCACGAGACATCCCCTCTCCCAAGAATTTCTGCTGCCGTGGTTTTACCTCAGAAGATCACCAGCTTTTCACATCACCACTTACCAGCAGAGCAGGAAAACCTAAACCAAAGCACCAAAGACAAAACAACTGCACCCAGGCAGGTCACCATAAACTGTGCCACTGGTTTCAGTCCCATTAAGATTTAATTCCCAAGGGAAGTGTTATATTTGACATAACTTAGAAGCTGCAGAACACGTGCGCGCTTGATACTGGCACAAACTGTCTGTTCTCTGCCAGCACCCGTGTGCCACCCACCATCCCCGCTGTACTTGACGTTAGAAAAGCACCTGTGCTCCTCTCCTCCACCTTCCACACGCTGACAAGTAAGTCCTGTTTCCCTCATGTGCTGTTTTTGTCACAGCTTCCTCCCACTTTATTCCTCCCACAAGAAATTACGTCTTGTCCAACCTTACCTCCTCCATGTGTAGCATTGTGCATAGGAAGGTATCCATTCCAAGAGAAAGAAACGTGCCTTCAATTTTTATTAACCCTCCTGACTCCCAAAAACAACATCCATACTGAGCCAACAGCAAAAGAGATCTTGATTTTTTTTTTTTTAAAAATCATTATTTTTTTTAAAACATCTACAGCCACTGACCCACCTGTCACCAGTCTTATCCCAATCAAGCCAACATTCCCTTCTTCCCAACAGGAAATACAAAAGGAGGAAAGTAAGAGATTATATCACCTCATAACTACAACAACATCCTGGGCTTTCTACTAACTCAGCACTTCATGAGCCTTGCAACCAGAGCACCAAAACACACACATGCTAAACTCTAAGCACCACAGATGACAGACTCCACTGCAATGTTTCACAAGATTTACCTTTTGTTTCTCTCATGTGTTTTACCTTCCCTAGGTTTAAAGTTTTGATGTTCCCTGATTGTTACTGACAGAGGCATAAAGCAATCTTATCAAATTTTATATGTCAACCACCCTGCAATGGGTACCTTCCAAGCAATGCATGAACTACAACAAAACAAAATAACACTTCCAGTTTCAAGCCAGAAGCACAGGTGTGTTCCTGCTTTTCAGTAGGGTGTAAATGATCCTTTCAGGCTGTAACATCAACCCAGAAGCAACTAGGGTCCTTCCTCTCACTGGCTGATGAGGTGTGCAAGCTACTGCAGGTAGAGAAATGCTGCCCTCACCACGGGCCACTCACTGGCACTTCTGGAAGTCAGCATTACTATCACCTTGGAAATGAATCTCTATCACATGCTGCTCTCCCAGGAAAGACACTAGGACTCTCTAAAATTACATATTCAAAGTTACTTTCCTTTTTAGCAAAAATCAGTCTTGTTACAGACCTCCAGTGTCATTTAGTTGTATCACTACGAATACAGGGGCCAAAAGTCAGCTCACATTCCGGCTGTAAGCGGTCTGGATTCACAAAAGACAGATAAAGCCCCAAATATCTGGAGAAAGCCAAACACACATAGCCCAGCTGCAGGCAAAGGCAATCCTTGTCTGGAGTTATGTATTTAAATTAAAACAGGATGAAACACAGACCCACTAAACTGAGGTATGACCGAATCTAAAACACAGTTTGGTCAGGGTGTGATGATGATAGCAGAGGGGCCGAGCACATAATCCATGGCTTGAGAAAGGGGCAGTCCCACTCCTACCCTTTTCTACCTCAAAAAGAGGTGGCAAAAGCCTGCCTTGGCAGTCATGTCACCTCTCTGTTCCCTAACCTATAGGTTGCTTTCTCCTCCCACCACCTTAGTTTAAAGCCTTACTCACCAAGTTAATCATTTGATACACAAAACCATTTCCCCTCTTTTTCACGCAGTGGGATAAAGAAGAGCCGGAATATTAGAGAAAACAGCACAGAACAGTTAAAGAGAACAAAGTAAAAATACTCCAGCACCTCCACCAAAAACCAGCTGGACCTGTTAACTCCACACCACCATCATCATAATGACACTCCCCCCGTGCCCCCACACATTAGGGGGTCTCAGCACTGAAGGACAACGCAGAGCCACCAACAGCTACAGTTCTGGAGCTCAGACCCTGCAGGTCTAACCATGCTGGTAGGTCTGATCCAGCCAAGGCCACGTCTGATCCACTGATTTCCAGACGAGGGCACCTGTATGTGGCTGTGTGGCACAGGATTTATTTTTAATGCAAAAAAAATGAGTAAAGGTAATAAAGAACTTAGTTTGCATCCACTGGAAGAACATCATGGAACAGTCTGATCGAGGCTTTACGTTATTATCAGACCACAAAAGACTGAAAGGCCCATGAGAAATAAAGCAACATTATTAAAAGAGCACAGGGCACGCTAAGGATCACATTTACCTGTGCTAGGAAGCTACAGATCTCAGCTGACAGTGTGGCACAGCACCGTACAGAAGCACAGAAATGAAGCTTCATCATGCCCCATAAGAACAAGAGGTCATCTGAGGTCGGCAATAAAATGCATTTCTACATTTCCAGGAAGAATCAGAAACGAGTAAGAGACTAACAACTGTCAACAACTTCATAATAAAGCATGTAATTGGGATTATATGAACAGAAGAACAACCAAGCATAGCAATTTCTATAAATGATGCAAATCCTGTGCCCAATTCAATGTTAGCATTAGCATGGGAATTTCTCCCAAGTATCCAACAGAAATCCAGCTACCAGACCACAAGTTAGAAATGCATTGTCTGATGTCTGTAAACTCCATGCAGACCACCCAGGAAGCCATAAAGCATCGTGTACAGCATCTATCAAGTTTTCAAACTGCCTTTTGCATCTGTAGCCAATATAGCTATATAGAAGCAAAATGGGCAAAACTCTCCCCTTATGCTACTAATCTGAAATCAACAATCCAGGAATTAACTTGGCTCACTGGTTTTATCCTTTCAAACTACCCATAACCAATTTCACTGATGACTTGATACTATTCCTTTTAGAAGACAGCTACTTAGAACAGTACAAATAACTTTGTCCACAGAAATAGAAACCTCATTATATTTCTTAAAGGTGGGTTATATGCATTTCTAGTTCTGTGTTTATCTGGTAACTGCAAGTACAGGAGGGAAGGCAGAAGGTTCAATTTTAGCAATTTTATTCAAAATGTTTGTGTTTGACAAAGAAATCAGGATGATTTTCAAGAGACAGAAACCCTACCAAGAAAAGCTCAGACCACCCTGATACATTTCATCCTGTCCAGTGCAGTTTGGTCTCTGCAGAACTGAGGCTCCAGCTGGACTAAGCCTCGGTCACTGTCCACATCTGTGGCGAAGGTCACAGGTAAAATTATTTACTCTGCAATGAAAAAAGGTCAAACGCACCCCCATTCACCTTGGTCTAAGAAAACACATAGGGACAGTTACAAAAGTTCAGCTGATGCAAAGCAATTCTCTTAGAACTCGAGAGATGAGAAAGAATTAATGAAAAAAAAAGTCACGTTAAATGGAGCAACTGAAAAGGACAGAAGAAACCTTTTATTCCAGGGTTAAAAAAATACCACTCAGGATTACTGAGGAGCAATCACAGTACTGGATAAACAAAGACTTAATGTTGCATCCTTTCCTTAGGATTTTCACTTTAACCTCTTCAGTGATGGAATTTACTGATGGAAGCATTATCTTCTGAGGCTACTGAAATAACTGAGGAATAATAAAATAGATTGCAAAGCCAAGTTCATCATTAGCAAAGCTGAGGCCACCTGGGCTCCTCAGCACAGTCCTGCACAGACCATATGCATGTCTGTGTTCCAGTTTCCTCCTCACCCCCATTTACTCTTTAGCATACACTCTTAACAACCTTTTTCCCCAGGCTGGCCAAGTGACATCAAGGAGAACACCAAGAAAACAGGCAAGACAAAGCCCAGTCCTTGGTGCCTTTCCCTGCTCCATAAAAATACACAAAAGCAGCAGAACTGACACCTGTAAAGCTCAGTGCTTGGCCCTCGCTGCCCAGCACTAGACATGTACCCCACCAATCTATGTCTGTGTAGAAACCCTCTCCACATCTGACATTTCCACCACGTGTGGAAAAAAATTAATTCTTCAAAAACTTTCAATGTAGCTTCACTTAGGTTTCCTTTTTTTTTTTTCCCCTGGGGAGCAAAAGGGTTTGCTAAACTACTCTTTTAGAGTAGACTGCAAACTGTCTAAAGACATCAATCCTGCTGCACCAAGCTCAATATTCATTTTCCAAGTACTGCACCTGCTGAAAAACAGCCATATCTAGTGGAAATCGATACACCAAGCACTGTCAGCACAGCTGAAATACAAACCTGTGAGTTCAAAGCGGGATAGAAAGAAATGTGTCTTCAGACACAAAGCCCTGCATGCCCTGCTGACACCTAAAATCATGAGGATACTAAATGTTTCTGATTTAGCAGAGCAAAAGGAAGTAATTTCTAGCTCTATACCTTCAAGGTGGTCTGGTTTGTTGTTTTTTTTTCCTCCTGTAATTCCTGATTGGGGCCTCCAAAGTCATCTGGCCCAGCTTTATAGCCTGAGCAGTCACTTGCTGGTAGTGCTGTATGGGGTCATCCATGAGGCAGGTCTTTTGCCTGCTTGTCTTACCTCCAAAATAGGTACAGTAAACTAAAGAAGAGGTCATTCTGGGATGTTACATTTTAAAAGGCTCTGGCTACCTTAACATGGACTATATATCCCCTTACAACTGGTTTTCCTAATAAAACTGTAGCAACCTCCAAAGGTAGCAAAGCAAAGGACTGCTGTAAGCTGAATTTCGGAAGGATTCCAGTAGGAAGACAAAATATTTCCTCCTATGAACTGCATATGCCCTTTTGCTTTTCCCAGAGAGTCATCTGTTTCAAGCCAGACTGCAACCTTTGCTAGAACAGTTGTTTCATTTACTACCATGAATCCACTTGGCCCATGGAGTTAATGCTGCCCTATTGAGTCTTCCAACATACTCTTTATTCCATAAATTGTATCCTATTTCCTAATAAAAGTCAAGAACAATATTAACAAAGCAATAATCTACATTGGCTTTTAGTGACTTACAGGATGTATTGACTCGATGCAGAGAAGATGCCACACGAGAGAGAAAAATCGCATTGAAATACTTTTAATTTGACGTATTCTTAAAGCAGCTTCTTGGCATTTGCACCTCAGCTCATTCACAGCTGTATTTTCAATTGGTGGAACTGAGCACTAATAAGAAGACAGATGATACTGAACATGCTGGCAAAGCCACATAAGGACTATGCAACTGCTTCATGACAGTCACTGGCAAAGATTCAAGCAGCTCCCACAGTCTACAGCTCAAAGAAATAAAGAATGCAGCAGAACTTCATTAATCAAAAAGGAAAGGGGAAAAGGATTTTTGCAGAATAAAGCCAGTAAAACCAGCAGTGAAAATATGTAATATTTCCCATTTATTTTCTGCTTTACAGGAATGCAGGAAAATGCAGCACAGTAAGTTCATCTCTCCTTTCCCATCATTACCACGTAGCCTTAAGACAGTCAGAAATGCAATTTAGCCACACCAGCTCCAAATAGAAATTTAAGTTGCTTTTCTCAAACCAAGAACACTGACCTCACAACTTCTACTAATTAACATAATATCTAAATTAATTACCACTAACCTGGAAATCTGGGAAATATCAGAGTTTGTAATTGTAGCCATCTGTACTATCAGAGTCTCCTTGAGAAAGCAAATGAAGAGTGAGGAATCTTCTGCAAGTCACCAACGTTTTTCTCTTACACTAGGAATCTATCACTACTCTACCACTTTGATACCTCGTGGTTTCACTTATATTTCTATTCCTGGTCTCCATCCATACCACTCTCCATCCAAAATGTAGGCAAGTAGTCACCAAATGCACTCTGGAGCTGTACTCGGGAGGACAGACACAGGGTTATTCTCATCCTTCACAAAATGGTTATCTGAGCATCTTCAGCAGTTGAACAAAACAGAGAAAGTTTCCTTCATAGTTCTCACAGCTTCTCCCAAAATGGTTAAGGACTTTGACATAAGGAACAGCAAACTCCGAAGTAAGCACAGATTTAAATTCTCAGGTGATTACTCCACTGTCATTGTGAACTCAGCACCTGGAAACACGTGGGTTTTCACAAGCACATGAGTTGCAGCAGATATGCTACTCTAAACCAAAGTGTAAAGATCCATTTTCTTTGCATAAACCAAACTTTTGATAAGGGTTACTATTTAAATTGAATAGAAAAAAAACCAACAACAATGGAAGAGTTAATATATTTGTACAATTTGAACAAGACCTAGATCACACTTGGCTGCCTGTGATGTTAGCACTGGCATGTTTTAAACCTGCAGTGAGAACATCTGCTTTGAACCAGTGGTCAGTACTGCAATCAAACATGTCTAACAACAGCATAAACCTACAGCTGTAAGGTATTCAGAACCTCAGTATTTCCAGCAAGCACAGTAGCATATGGGAAAGTTGCACTTTCAGTGCACTCCCACCCTATGAGGCTTAGAGAAGAAAAATTTAACTTGCTCTCAGACACAGGAGGTAGGAAACAGAGTCTTGAACAAAAATAGCAGGGATATAAATCTGACTTTCAAGGTCCAAAGTTTGACTTGGTAGCAACGAAATAAAACAAAGCAACTAGAGAGGGAAGGAAAAAATAAAAGGAGCACTAGCTGTCTGTGGCAAGTGAAGGGTCTCCTCAAACACAGCGTGTCCTGATTAATGTTTTCCCAAGTTCAGAGCACGACACCCTCCTTTCTGAAATGGTTTCAGCTGAAACACTGGCCTAGACACCACATGAAACACTTTGTCTTTGCTGCTCAAAGCTTTATCTTTCAAGGGAACGGACAGCCGTGAAGAGAATCACAAAAACATCTGGACTTGTGAAGGCTGGACCACGGCACGAACCTCGTGGTTCAGCCTCACTCCAAGCGCATTTGGCTCCCACATCCTCTACTCTGATAATCTCCTGAGAAGCAGGACATTAAGACTCCAGAGCCAAACAAACTTCTGAGCACTCGGTTCAGAAAGTTGATGCAGAACAACCCAGAGAGTGTCATTAATCTGAGTTGCATAAGGACAGATTTTCAGCATCCCTGAAAACTGAGATTTGCATGTGGGACAAAGTTAAGGGGAGAGCCAAGATAAGGACAAACAGTCAATTCAATTAAGATACAGAAGCTGCAACAAAACATTGCCCTTCACATGGCATGATTAGCAAGTACCAAAGAGCAATTCTAAGAAGCTGTTTAATATGCAAATATAAGTCAACAAGTACCAGTTTTAAGCAGCATGAAATCTTAACAGGGAGACTATTATTCTCAGCTGTTTCACTTTGACTAATAAAGAGAAAGGTATATGTAATTTTATGCTTCAAAGTATGCAATCTTAGTCCCTTCTTACCCCAACCTGAAACATCACCTACTGGGAATGGCTGGGCCTGGAGCTGCCATTGTTTCTGTGGGTTCTTTCTGGGCTCTGTCTTTTCCTGGGTCTGCAGCAAGGTGAGATGGGCTGGACAGCGGGAGCACAATAGCCACCGTTTTTCTCTCTCTCCTTCCTGTTCAACAAGGAAAGCTATCCCTCAGTTGGACAGACATCACACATAATGCAAAGTACACTAAACATGAAAGCAATAAACATACAGCTCTTCTGGAAATTTCTGAGCCTCCCTTCTCAAATACATGAGTTTTCTTCAAATTCCTTTAATGAATAAATTCAGTCTTGTTGCAAAGGGTTTGCAAAAGATGCCTTAACTCCTAACCAATCCAAGCTTGAGTTGCAAAATGCAAGCAGAACAAAGATCAGTGTTTTTAAAACAGACCTAGACTGTCCAATGGCTTATTTCCCACCCTCCATATTAACACAACTCCAAAAGACACAGAGCAGTTGAACTATTTTTCATAACTAAGTTTACTTTCCTATTGGTAGTGTCATAACACAACACTTACGGTTAACTCCATAGATACCCTTCCCTGAATTTTTACTCACAGATTTTGTACCTCAAACCTATGCAACTTCCTCCCTACTTCTGCAGACTAAAGAAACCATCATCCAATACAGAAGGAGGCAGGCACGTTTCAGTTATGACACATTAATTAGTAAAAGAGAATTAATAGAGGGTGTCTTCCCACCATAAACACAACAACATATCCACTTTGCACCCTAGAGATATTCCCACATCAGACCATGCACCCAGGATAGATCTATTTCCAGATATAAGTTTTAGAGGAGATACAGGGAGAGCAGAAAACATTTGGGGTGTTTTAAACAAAGTAAGTTACTTCCACTAGCTCTGGGGTTAGTAAATCAGAAATGTGTTCAAGCTTTGCTGTTAGTGTCAGGCAGCAGGCTCTCTTTCAAACTGTGCAGGCAGAAGACAGGTGCTATGTTGGAAGGCAGCATGTTTCCCCTATCAATCTAAGAGAAAAGGTTGGCAAGCAAGATAAAATAAAAAATAACCCAAGGAAAGGGTTTGTCTTTTCTGCAAGATGGTAAATACCCCCATCTTTTAAGTGTTTAGGGGCTTTATGTTAAAAGAGCAATTCTTAGGCTTTCCCTTGCACTTCATATATCATTACACATACACTGTAAACTGAATTTCATTAAGTATCGTGCTCACCATGGTGTGCCTTGGCTGCAGCTTGAGCATTACACACAGCCTAATGGATAGTTATTGATTTAATGAAATGGCCTGAACACAAAAGAATTTCTGATCTCTGGTTCAGTTTAACTGAGGGTCATGCTCAGGTTCCAGAGGAAATTAGATTGGGAAGGATTTGCCCTGGGGTTTGATAATTCTGGTCAATCTCCACCCCAAAAAAAAAATATGTTTCTAGCCCTATTTGTTTAGTTACGACTCTTTCGCCTTCTCCTTCCTGGAAGCGTTCCTGACGTCTTTCCCCAAATAACTCAACAGTTTGTTTAGCTGAGAAGAAACTCTCCTAGTAGCATAGGACAGTTTTTCTTCAGCTGGTGGGTGACATCACCTTAATGCCTTTCACATGAGAAGAGAAGCACGAACTGCATCACCAACGATGTAACGTGCCCAGGTCACCCGCCCTGCTGGGGAACGAGGGGAGTCCCGCATGTTAATCCTTGTGTCACAGAATACTTCCACTGCGCTCAGGAGAGGACCTGTTTACCCACTTTGGCTTGATTCCCACAAAACTCTGACTCAGTGGCCTGCCTCCCAACATGGCTACCATGTCCAGTTAAGTAGAAGCCTTGTCATGAGGTGGGAGATAGAGAAGAACACAGCGTTGTACCTGAGCCTATTGTGTGTCCAACGGAGTCAAAGGAAAGAACCACTGAATCTGTAACACAAGAGTACAAGTTCATTTTCCCCCTTTTTTTTCCCAGCACCATTTCCTGCTGTAACATTTTTTTTTTGTCATTTTGTTTAAGCAATTCCTCGTGCTCCCTTCCACCAGGAAGGAAGCAGAGCAACTTCTTCACCAACCAGACAAAACAACAGGAATCTAGCAAAGGCAGAACAACGGAGTATGCAGTGTCATTACCCAATGGAGTAGCTACAATTCATTGAAAATAATTTCATTTTATGACTAATAAGCTTGGTTGACCTTACCAAAACTGAATCATAACATGCTTTGACTGATGGACTAGAGAGTTTTTTCTTATCAAATGTATTACCAATATTTTGTCCCCAGTTAGGGGCCTTGCCTGTTATGATCAATTCTTCCCCTGACACTGTTTGCTAAGACAAACCCTCAGTGCTGCTTGCACTTCTCACCATGTTTCCCACATCTTTACTCACATTACTGGTTCCTCAACTCAATACATTTCAATTCATCAGTAACCTTCACCTTTTTCCTTTATGCAGCACATGAGCTAAGCATCAAGAAAATATAAGCTCTCCACTTGATACCCTTTTATTTACCCATCTGGAGATCACAACAATGCTTTATCCATGACTGCAATGACAGCTCTTGCTCACCAGCTAAATGCCTGATACTCTTAGTCACTGTTTTACATGATGGGGCACCCTTTGCCTCAACTGTGGTTTAAAAGTTCCTGGTCTTTATATATTCAATTTGACATTTGGCCACACAGAATCCCTTACTGCCTGCTGGCACTTAGCTCACCCCATGATCCAGACCCCTAGACTGGTCACTCATTTTCCTCACATACCTCCCTTCCAGCCTAGAATCTCCTTGCAAAATTAACAGTAATAATTTGATATTCTGTTCCAAGTGGAGCTGCAATATGGTATCACGCTCAACAGTGAGTTTTTCCTCACCTTTATGCTTACTTGAGACAAGCTAACACTTATTTTGGTAGTAAGCCTCATGGTTTGCCCTCTATTTTCATGCCAACCCTAACTGAGGGAGCAAGCCTACAAAACTCTACTCCGCTACCAGAACTTAAGAGACAACTTGTCAGTGAGTAAAACACAGAAAAGAACAAACCACCACGATGGGATTAATAATTTTATGGAATGAGAAGCTTTCTACTGACCTGGCAATAGCAGAACTGCCTTTCAGCTTCGGCTACATTAACAGATTGAACCCTTGAACGTTTCTCTTTGTAACTTCGGTTTCAGATGTGATCAGCTGATCAATCACACATCACTTTCAGCACCACAAATGCTGCCAAGGTGCAAGCCCTCAGTGCAAGGCAAAAAGCCCAAGCCTAAACAGGCTTAGCCTGCTTGCAAAGAGTTTAAGCTCCTGCTGCATCACCCTAAATTTGGGCGGGTGACAATCACAGTGGTAGTTTCTGTGTCACGGCTGACAATTAACTTGACACAGGACCAAGCCCTTGGCTTCTCTACACTGTGCATCATCCTCGTGCTTATCTTCCAGCTCTTAAAAATTCAGTATGAAAGTGCTAATTTTCAAAATAAATGTAGTAAGGCTGTTAACTTAACTGGGTATAAAACGATCTAAAAAAAGAAGGTCTATGCTGTCTCAATTCCAACAGAATGGTAGTAACATTAAAAAAAGAAAAGAAGATATCACTAGTCTCAAAACTTACTGCAATAAAAATAAAAATCCATCTGGACTTAACAACTGTATTTCCTCTTTTGGGAATAAAATTCAGACATCATTATATTATTCTAAATAGCAAGGAGTTTAATTCATTTTAACTGCATTAGCTTCATCTGCCATCAATTCTAAAGTATCTCTGTGGGGTTCTACTTCTAAAAAACTGTTGAGATTTTTATCATCATGAAGTATTGTTTTGTACTTAATGCCAAATTTAAATGTTGTTAATTTTCCTACAATATATTTTGCATTCTAACACTGAACATGAAATATTAGGACTTATCTAAGAATGGCTGAAAAGCACTGAAAGAACCAAATTAATAACACAACTGCAGCCCACCAAAATAGCATAATGTTTCATTCCTTTAACTAAGAATGTTATCTTCCTCATATAAAAAAATTAATTTACAAGCAGAGTAAGTTCCCTTTTCCAATCCAGCCCTCCATGCAACTATTAGTTTCACAGTTTCCACATCAAATTCACTGTGAATAACCTCTATTAGAGTTAACTCCCCCTCGACCTGCACAAGTAATTGCACAAACCACAGATTTTTATTAAAACACTGTGTTTATTTCTGGTACTAGCACTTCAAAAGGGAAGATACTATAAACTCGAAAAAAGCTGAGAAGATAATCATGTGTCACCTTTCTTCTACCCAGTTGGCTATTCACACTCAGCCAAATTCAGAACAACAGGTTATTTCTGTCAGAATTTGATGGAAATAAGCCCTTCTTTGAGGCAAGCCAGATTTATTTGCAAATACACCATGTCCTGCTTTCACAAACATAAGAAGAAATGTTTCCTTGCTTCAAGCTTCAAATCTCTTCCAGTCATCGCTCAGTTCAAAATCCTCCATCCAGACTTTCTAGACTTTTTTTTTTTTTTTTGCTGAGACAAAGTGGCTGCTCAGTCTGTGCCCAGTGCCTTTCCCCGAGCCCCTGAGGCTGCTCTACCTTTCAAAAGGCAATCCTCAAAGGCTTTATCTTTCAAAACTTATTAAGACAGTGTAAAACATACCCACTTACACAGCCCTTGGTTTAGGTGCCAAGAGGTGCTCGTGTCTGAAGGAGCAGTCCCCAACTTTTCAGCTACCTACTTCCACAAAGCAGCTTAGATGTTTTTCATCCTGCCCTAACTGAAGGGGAGCCTTTATGACCAAATCATGAAATCTGGCACACAGTAACTTGCCAAATGCACAGCTTCAGGTTGCACACACCACAGTGCCAGACTTTTACACCTTGTTTTCACGTTAACTACAATCTTTATTCCAGTGACTACAGCAGTTCTGAAAAGAAAATAAGAAAACCCCAAGATACAGCACAATCCAAATGTAAATCTGGATCTTATTCAATCCATCAGAAGAAGTGAAGACAGCATAAACACTCGCTTATTTGGAAGGTTCTCAGTGCCAGGAATAATGATGGTTGAGACCTCACAAGTCAGACTGCAAAGCTGCTTTGGGTCACTTTGTCTCAACTTTGGGTTAAAGCTGCACTGGGACCTACGCTCTGGGTCACCTTCCCTCACCTCCCACCATCCAGACAGAGCACCACAAATCAGACCAACACATGAATCTGCTCCATCATCCCCCAAAAAGCAGAGCTGTGCAGGGTGACCTGAATGCACTCCATCCCAGCCCCTGTGGAGTGTAGAGGAGCATTGCCTACGTCCCTGCCTACAGGGCAGCTTGACTGCTCTGAAACAAACACAAGGGTCCCATTTCAGTCAGGAACCAGGAGCTCCAACACAGACTGTGCAGAGAGACTCAGTGCTGCTCTGGGAACGAATTTAAACTCAGTTCCAACAATGCTCCATGCTGGACACAGAGCTGAACGTGCCTTTGAAGGAACACAACTGGATTTCCATAGTTCTGTCCTGAAGTCAAAAAAAAAAACCTGATCTGCAAATCTGAGGTGACTACATTTGCTTCTGCACTTACACCACAGCCCAGCTAAGTCATCCAGGTATGTGAACTGATTGTATTTCAAGGCAAGGGATGCACTTCAAGCGTTGCTGACCCCTTATCTCTGGACACACACCCCACACTTTTCACTCCAGTGTTCCCCCACTTTAGGTCCTCCTTCCTGTTTGTTTTGTTAACCATGAGCTTTCTCAGGGCCCGGATAACTCTGCACCACACTGCCCTGTCCCCAAGGCAGGCAAATTAAATCACTCATCTTGCTGCATATATTGTGCACCTCAGCTCTAGGCATTTCTGGACACCAGACAACTATTCAACCACTACTCCTTACTGACTGCCTTATCTTCTCCACTACTCTGGTTTCCAAACAGAAAAATAAATGAAGATTTGGGTCTTCATAAATGGGTGATGATCCTGACCAACAAACTGCAGATTTGTAGGAGACAGAGAGAAATAAAGCCATGCTGGAAAACACCTGAAGTCTCATACTCCAAGAGGGAGAGATGCACGGCACAGGATAAACATTTTACATGCAGGTACTGCACCGGAGAGATGTGTGTGTGTAAACAGCTCCTAAAGCCAACTGTGTCAAGTTCCTAAAATCATGTGAGAGCAAACACATGGACCCACTTCCAATACAAATACTGACCTCATTTTGATTTCAGCATTGATGAAAATGCAGTATACAAACTGAAAACAAGCAGTGTGGCAACACAGAATGAGAACAGCAAATATAACCTGCATTTAAACAAGAACTGTATATAAACTGTATGTTTACCTAAGTGCTGTTTCAGAATTTCAGTTAAGACTTTTATAGTAAGTCCCTCTGAGAAGCCACTAACTTTTTACTGCTTTTTACAGATTCCCCCTGCAAGGATTTGTAGATATTTGTCTCATCCTATTGGAGACCAAAGAAGCTGAACCAATAACTTCTTTTATCCTTTTTTTTTTCCTTAAAAAAAAAAAAAAAAAAAAAAAAAGCAAGCAAAACCAGACTTCAGCAATAAAGTAACTTCCCCAGGAAAAAAAAAAAAAACAACATGATTGCGTGCTGCTTTGGAAGTGGTCCTGAGAAACCACAAACCATCAGTCCCATAGGAGTTATAAGAGTTTAATAATAAAGGCTTAACACAGCCTCAGTACCACATACCATTACAGCAATACACTCCACAGGCCAAGCCAAACAGGGAATATGAGAATCCATCACAACATAAGGCTGTAATTTGGCACATCCTCATTCAGGCGCTCGAGCTCTGAGGTCTGCGTTGCTTTCCATGCATAATCCATGTAGGTTTCTCATTCCATACCCCTGCTCTCCAGATACTCCTGTGGACTCCTACAGAACTGCAACTTGTATTTAATAGTGTTTAATGTAATTTCTATCTC